AGAGAGAGAGAGAGAGAGAGAGAGAGAGAGAGAGAGAGAGAGAGCAAGCTAGCTAGTTCGATCCCTGGGGCTCAGTGGCCAGCCAGGCTACCTGCACCAGCAAATTCCCGGCCAGTGAGAGACCCCGCCTCCATGAACAAGGTACATGGTGTCCTGAGAAAGGGCAACTGAGCTTGATCTGTGGCCTCCACACACATATACACGCATCTGTGTGTGCATGGGCACACAGAGAGACACACATACACATGATTACAAAAGAACAAGGTTCTGGGTCAGTGTAGCAGGCTCTGAACCTCAGTACCCACCCAATGGAGATTCAAATAGAGATGCCTGTCAGAACCTCTCGTAAGGCTTGTGTGAGGATCAAGAGAGGGAAGAGACAGCAAGCAGTGTCCTACCTGGCTGCAGCTGCCATCCCTCTTAAAGGCAGACCTACCTCTCCTGTCCCCAGTCCAGAGCCTCCTGGCCTGTCTGAGGATATAGAAGCATCAGAATAAAATGGAGTGGTTTCTGTCAAGGCGCCACCACACTGAACTTAAAGAAAACCAAGTGTGTGTGTGTGTGGGGGGGGGGGGTGCTGGAGAGATGGCTCAGTGGTTAAGAGCCTGACTACTCTCCCAGAGGTCCTGAGTTCAATTCCCAGCAACCACATGGTGGCTTACAACCACCTATAATAAAATCTAATACCTTCTTCTGGTGTGTCTGCAGCAGGGTACTCATATAAATACAAATAAATAAATAATATTTAAAAAAGAAAACAGAGTGTGTTCACACGTCTAACACAGACCATATCCGGAAGACTTGACGGAGTCATGGCATGTGCAAAAGCTGGCTATAGAGCAAAAACAGAATCCTGTGCTGGCACATGCTAAACCCGGAGGCTTTGCATGGATCCTTTCAACGCCCTGACAGCTCAGAGGATTCTCTGTACCTCATACCTAGGAAAGAGCAATCGGAAACCAGGGCGCTCTCCCGATTCTCAGCACAGGCCAACAAGTAAATGCTTTCGGTTGTCTCCCTCTGTCATGTTCTCTATCTCAAATCTGCTACTTTCTTCATTTATATTAAAATTAAGACAAAATGCAATATAAAAAATGCCAACCTCCCAGATAAGAGTTTTGGACATTTTGGCCAATAGAAGAATAGATGTTTCTTCCCTCTCACCCCCAAATAGGGATTTTGCAGCTTACAGTGACTCCTTGGCAACCCGGGCACCTAAGGATCCCTTCTCGGAACTGAAAACACGGGGTTCCAGGCCTGAGCTGACGAGCTTATGAAGTTGTTACCCTGATGTCAGAGTCTGAGCCTTGTGCAATACTGAGAGCCCCATCTGGCATGAGAACTCAGTTCCGTGTGTCACACCCCCACAGACACTGCCAAGGGCCTTTTAAAACTCATTCCCAAAAATGCTTCCTGCCTTAACCAATGAGTCAAGTAAACCATCCAAGCAAAAGGCCAAAAAATAAGGCTTCAGGGGAAATCTTACTAAAAGAACCTGCCAACCCCAGTTTGATCCCTGGGATCCCGTGATGGAAGGGGAGAAAGCTGTCCTCTGACCTGCGCTTGTGTGCAGTGGCAAGCACCTGTGTGCTCACACTCACACATATCATAAGACATACAGTAACACAAGTAATTTTTTTTTATTTTATTTTTTTTAAACTTTATTTATTTATTTATTTATTTATTATAAGTACACTGTAGCTGTCTTCAGACACCCCACAAGAGGGCATCAGATCTCATTGCAGATGGTTGTGAGCCACCATGTGGTTGCTGGGATTTGAACTCATGACCTCTGGAAGAACAGTCAGTGCTCTTAACCACTGAGCCATCTCACCAGCCCCAACACAAGTAATTTTAAAAGACAAATTTATCATCATCAAATTCAGGATGTTTGGGTGATGTGTTTTCTTCTCTAGTGCTAGCTTACATGGAACCATCTGAGCTTTCACTCCCAAACTCCTTCAAGGCTGAGGGGATTCCAGAAAAGGAGACGTTCTTCAGTACCTGTTCTGGAAATGGCTTTACCCAAAAGTTTGGTGCACAAACGTCAGAAGACTACCTATGAGAATAAATACAATAGTGTACGTGCATGCGTGCATGCGTGCATGCGTGCATGCGTGCGTGTGCGTGTGCGTGTGTGTGTGTGTACGGAAGGGTCCACATGTATGGGTGCAGGCACGCTCACCCATGCCTGGACATGTAGAAGCCAGAGGCTGATGTTCTCAGTCACTGTGCACCTTACTTTTGGAGACAGGATCTTTCACTGAACCAGAAGCTCAGTGAACATCAGCTCCGCTGGACAGAGTTCCACAGACTCCTCCTGTCTCCACCTACAGCAGCACTGGGGTTAAGATGTGGACCACTGGCACCCAGCTATCTGTCGGGTGCTGGGGATCTAAACTCAGGTCCTCAGACGTCACAGAAAGCCATCTCCCCACCACAGAGGTAAGATCTTTGTATATGTTTTCCAGTGTGTCCACATTCATTCATGTTATGTGTTGTGCCTATACACTGACGTAGTTTCTCATTGGCTTATAGACACGTAATCACCCACTTAGACTGACACTATGTGGATCAAAATAATTAACACAATGTTTTAAACTCACATGACTTTAGCAAGTTATTAATAAATAAGATGGTTTTTAATATTTTGGTAAAATGAAAGCATTGCCACCCTGGTGATTGTGAGCATTATTCTTGCCTGGGTTTGTCAGCAGGAATGGTCATATTTCTCTACCAGATATTAAGATCATAAGCATGTAAGTTGGACCTAGAAACAGTATCAGTTGCTTCCTGTGTGACAAGTCCAGCAATTTAACTTTTTGTGTCTTTCCTTGACCCTAGAATAACTGTGAATGGCATTGTTACCTACTGTCTCCGGCTTCTGAAGAAGCCTAGGTATAATTGGTAAAAATTAAAATGTTAGTCAGGCATTGGTGGCCCACACTTTTAATCCTAGCACCCGGGAGGCAGAGGCAGGCACATCTCTGAATTTGAGGTCAGCCTAGTCTACAGAGTGAGTTCCAGGACAGCCAGGGCTACATAGAGATACCCTGCCTCAGGAATGGGGGTTGGGAGTCATCCTCACTCTGTCAACCGGACAGAGTCTAGACTCAGCCTAGCAGAAGGGCCTCTGGGCATGTCTGTGTAGATTATCTTGACTCAATCAATTGACGACACAAGTCCCATCCTCATTGTGGTTGGCACCACTCCCTGGAATAGGGACCATGAACTCTGTGAAACAGAGAAAGTGAACTGGGGCCTAGGGCGCATTCTTTACTCTCCTCTGTGGTTGCAAACAACCAGGTACCTCACGTTCCTGATACCTCGCCGTCCCCACCACAACGAGCTTACCTTGAACTGTGAGCCAGAACAAATGCTGTCTCTCCTCAGTTGCTTCTGTCCAGGTATTTTGTCACAGCAAATGGAAAAGAAACTAAGCCAGCCACCGAGATGCTAACCTGCTGAGTTCCGTTACACTGGGATTACAGGCGTGCTCCCTCACGCCCAGCAAGCTGGCTTCTGTCAATAATTACGTTCTTTATGATTAGTGTTTATACCCATGGGTTTTCTGGCAGATCCTTGCCCTTTCTTTGTCCAGCTGACATTTTCTCTTATGTGGCAGGACCAGATCGGACATTCTGTGCTGTCCAGTAAATGTCCTATTATCTGGTGACTGTCACTCTGGATAGGGGACAGAGAAGTGATAAACCCTCCATTTCACCATCCCCTTTGCTGCCGCCATAGAGAGCTACTCTGCTCAGCACCTTGTCACCAAGCACCTGAAGAGATAGCACTGGCTGAGATCCTTACCCTGAGGTGTGGCCTGCCATTCTGGATGTTCCCAGGCACAAGGATAGGAGAAGAGGAAGGAAAGAACTCTGAGGGCAGGAGACTACCTGCATTGGTTTTCACCATTTCACCAGATAGTGATTTGGGATAGCTGTGACTCTGACAGAAATAAAGATCTCCTAGACAGACATGGAACCCCGCCCTTCAACGATGGTCCCAAGAACCTTAAATTTCCCAGGAGCATCACACTGAGAGAAGGAGAATGTTAAAGTCTGGTGCCAGCCGGAGGAAGAGTCCGACCCTCGAAGGTCTGACAGCTCGCCAGACTGCTCTGCAGGGTGCTAGAGCAGAGGAGATGGGTGGGTGACACGCACGACCCTCTTGCCCGCTTCATGTCAAGACCTATGTCACGTCAAGGAGATGAACTTGGGGTTCACTGGACCTCCCTGTTACTCTTTCCACCATGGTTACGTTGAATGCATCTTTCTCTGCTTTGCTGTTGCTTCTGTTTAACTGGCCTGTTGAAGTCAGGTAGCTGAGCCTGAC